GTGAGATAAGCTCTTGAGTTCATAAGCCATGTATTGTTTGGAATGTACTAAGCCTTGTCTTGAATACTTTAGTTTCTTTGATTACTTTGTCGAAACTAATATTGTTGATCAACGGTTAGAATGTTCAGTTAATCTTGTAACCGAATGTTTGATTCTTCTTGAAATAGCTTATTGTGTTCCTTTCTGTTTTTGTGTGTGTAAAATTTCAGTCAGGATTGCGAATGGCGTGCTTGGATACAAATATATCCGCTTAAAATGAGTTTTTTTTGTTAACTATGATTAATTTTTGAACAAAGTGATAAAGTTAGTTGTTAGTGAGATTTTGATTTATATTAAAATAATATTTAAAATGAAATAATTAAAGTTGATCTGATGTAAAAGTAGGAAAGTGATAATGTAAAGCGATGGATAGTTAAAATTATGTGAGTGAATGGATAGTGAATTAAACTAATGTGATATGTAAGAATGATTGTTTGATATTATTTATTTATATTAATAATATTAATGATATTAGAGTCAGGTTAAGGTTGAATTAAATTTTGAGTATGAATTGAAAATTTTTATAAACAAACACCCTCTTAGCAAGTGTCTTAATGGTAATTATTTAAAAAATGAAATTTAGTTGTCAGCTTGTAACTGAAAACTGCTTTGTATTTTCGTACAAAAGGATTTTACACATGCGAAATGACTGTAAAATACTTATTCAAGTGTGAGCATATTAGGANAAAATAAGAAAAATCAATCATTTTTTTTAACTCAAATCCAACTCAACATTAATTCAACTTCACTTTTCTCACTAATATCAATATAATTAAATAATAACAATCCAACATCTTTACGCATCACATTAACTTTGATTCACTATTTATTCATTCAAATAATTTTAACTAATCATCACTTTACATCATCTCTCTCCTATTTTTATATCAAATCAATTTTAATTATTTTATTTTAAATATTATTTTAATATAAACTCAAAATTTCTATAACAACTAACCGTACAATTTTTTTCAAAATTAACCATGTTAATCAAACAATTCAAACAGAGCCAAAGATCTTATATCCAAGCATTCCTTATGACCCCGCTCAATGAAATTAACATTTTTCAGTACCCCAAGGTGTTAGGTGTATGATCAAATTTAACGACTTTTTCGTGACATTATTTATTAACATTATTATTTTGTATATATTATGTTGGAATGGATAAGAAAAGAAAAGTTTGTTCAAAATATAATAAAGTTGAAGGTGAATCTTAGATAATTGTTAATTATAAGTTAAACCATATAGATAAGTATTTCATACATAATGAAGGATAAACAAGAATAAAATGAGAAAAAAGTTAAAAGAATAGGAGACTATATTACAAGATACAAATTCAACTAATTATGTTTGAAAGTGATAAAAAAAAAACCATTTATCGAGATATAATAATGTTCAAGGTGAATCATAGATAAATGTTCATTAGCAATTAAACTATATAGATAAGTGTTTCATAAAGGATAAGGGATAAACAAGAATGAAATGGAAAAAAGAAAATGAAAAAGAAAGATAAGTAATAGGAGATTATATTATAAGATACAACTTCAAGTAATTAGGTTTGAAGTGATTGGAAAAGAATACCATATAATCAAGATATAATAATGTTCAAGATGAATCTTGTATAAATGTTCACCAAGATTTAAACTATATAGATAAGTATTTCATAAAGAATGAAGGATAAACAATAATGAAATGAAAAACATAAAAAACTGAAAAATAAGTTAGGGAATATGAGATTGTATTATAAGATACAAATTCAAGTAATTATGTTTGAAAATGATAAGAAAAGAAAACAATTGATTCAAGATATAATAAGGTTCAATGTGAATCTTAGATAAATGTTCATTAGGAGTTAAACTATATAGATAAGTATTTCATAAAGAATGAATGATAAACAAGAATAAAATGAAAAAATAAAAAAATAAATTAGGGAAGAAGATTGTATCATAAGATAAAATTTCAAATTATTAGATTTGAAAGTGATAAGAAAAGAAAACTACATTTTGCGATTCAAAACAGTAGCATAATAACTCTCATTATTTGAAGCAAACTCGTCATTAGAACAGTAAAATATGCCTTGAAAGGTCACATATCAATAAATACTTAAATAGTTAAATACTACATAAATGATCACTCTCATAATGACTCACATTTTACAAAGCAAACCAGTCATTCGAATAGTCCTTTCTACATGCCTTGATACGCTAGGTATCAATAAATATTACATAAATGATTATGAGACAACTTAAAATATTATTTATTAATATAAATGCTACATGAATGAAGTCTAAAAATTTTCATCTACATCCTTATCACTCTGTATAACAAAAAAAAAAAAAAAATGTATTTCGATGACCTATTGGAGAAAGCGAAAAAAGGTATTCAGCAAGAAGTGTGGAAGAGATCCTTCTGTAGGCAGGTCGGAATTAGCCCTGATTCTTTCTGCTTCTTTTTTTTAGGGAGGTCAATTGCATCTTTAGAAGTTCAGTCAAAGACCTACTCATCGGCCCCTTCTTTTTATGACTTCACTTCGCTTCGCTTCGTTTGTACCTTTCGATTCTCCACGGATTGGGGTATTTTTCATGGTTAAGATCGACTACCGCCACATCTTGATCACAAGTTCATGTATTAAATTTATGGTTGTCGTATTGATTACCATATGCTCAATCATACAAGTCATCGTCCCTATCATTTTTCATCAGGTTCATCTGGTTGTTGATCTCTGTCCGACTCAAGATCCTCCGCCTCATTGCATTGAAAATTACTATTCTTCGAAACTTAGGGGATTCAAGGTGTTAAAAACCTCCTTCACGTGTTTCTAATACAACATTCTGTATTTCTAGTACAACATTCCCGAGAGGACGATCTTTTTAGAGCTAAAAAGTTGATAATTGAAGAGAAACTGAAAAAATGTAAAAACTGTTAGTGGTATATACTGAAAGCTTGATTTTGCATGTTATTACATATTTGCCCTTTATGAATGAGAATCATGTTAGATTAAACAAGTTCTACGTTCTGTTAGATTAAACAAGTTCTACGTTCTGTTGTTCTGCACTTCAATAGGGTGGGTCGTCATCCGGCGAACCGAAGATCACTCTGTCAGTTACTTGAGGAAAAGAATAGTCGTTCACAACCTAGATGGACATGAACACCTCATCCGAACGGTTGTAGTGTCAACTGTACAGTTTGTCTTGACTGATTAGTTGCATAAGTACATTTATGTATTGAACAGGATCCCAGAGAGGAGAAGTTCATTTTATACTGATCGTCGTAAATGAACTACGCCTCGGTTAATTACCGCATTCTCTTAACCCGTAAGATATTAAACATGCATATATATATGTAGTATATATTACTTTTATTCACTTGGGTGAGGTTCAGTTCGCTAAATTAATGTTCCTATTGTTTTGGGTAATATTGCTATATATAAGATGTGCTGTTAGGATATTTACGGTCACCATGTGCGTTAGTTTGATGATGTCCCCGGAGTGAGTTCATGAAGAATTGTTATGCTAAACCCTGCAGGTGGATTAAGTTTCGATATAATAAGAATGTGATGAACGAGGGCTAGTTTCGGTGAAATAATAATAAATTAATTAATTCTTGATTGTCAGTAATCGAATTAATTAATGGACATTATATCTTAAACGTGGGGAGGTAAATCGAGTAATTATTATTGGAGTCTCAAATGTAATTTGGGTTACGAAAAGGGAGTGCAATAATACAATGTTGGTGGCCTATTAATATTATTTAATTAATTAGAGGAGTGAGTTTGGCCCACAGTTAGTCTAATTAATTAAGGAGCCCTGTTCCTAATCTCCTAACGGTCCCTACTGTAACTCTATATATACATCATTAAGCTTATGAGAAAAAAGAGAGATCCCATAATTCACGTGATACACGCACGACTCGTCTCTCTCTCTCTCTCTCTCTCTTAGTTCTCATTCGAGCTTTATCTTCTTCTTGTTGATCCACTGGTACAAGTTGAAGAGGTGTTTGAGTAATACAGTAAAAGATCCATAGGTAATCGAGACACGGTGATCATCTACTTGCAGTTGACGAATCGCGACCTATCAACCGACCCGACCGCCGATCGCGACCCAGCCGGAGCCCGCGACCAGCCGGAGCCCGCGACGCGCCTCCCAGAGCCACGACCAAGCCGCGACGCGCCACCATCGATGACACGGCCACCGGCGATCAGACCCGCGACACGACCAGCTCGACCCTACCGATCCTTTTGTGATCCCGACCTATTCGTGTGCTGTGTACGGCTATCCGGAAGATCAGCCAGATTGCTATAAATTTTAAGCCGTAAGTTCTCTACGTCAAACCTTTAGATCCGCTGCGCATATGTTTACGTTTGCTATTGAATTCGTGATTCACAGATCCCAACAAAAACAAGTGCAAGAAGTTGATCTGCATTGTGACAAACTCGTGATTGACCAAACTGTTCACACGATTCTCTGTATATTCGTCGCTTATATGTTGATACTTTATTGCATAATTTTTACGCACTTCCTCAATTAAATTCGCATATCTATATCATATTTTATCGTATAATGAGATTGCACTTGTTCAATTATCTTCGCTTCTCTGTTGCATAGTTGATCGTATAATTATTTCAAACTTGCTCAATTAACGTCACATGTTTGTCGCAAAATTTATCACATAATGAGATCGCACTTACTTGATTATCTTCGCATGTGTGTCACATAATTAATTCGCACTTGCTCAATTAACTTCGCCTATTTATCGCATAGTTTATCGCATAAGTAATTCATACTTGTTCAATTAACTTCTCTTGTCTATTGCATACTTTATCGCATAATTGTTTAGGACGTTATCAATTAAGTTCGCTCTGTCTCATGTTTTATTGCATAAATATTTCGCACTTTATCAGTTATCT